ATAATTCACCAAGGTGGAATGTGGACCAAGAGTATGACTGAAACACTGTCCCTACCAATGAACTGGGCTCAGAGGATCCTGGAAGGCTTATTGGCAGTTTACCTTCTGGGGAAAGTCAATGGGAAAGCAGATTTCCTCAGCAGACATCAGGTTCAACCAGGAGAGCAGAGTTTAGCAAAACTGATGTGCCAAATGATTGTAGACTAATGGGGGAGTTTGGATACAGATCTGATGGCTACGATATCCAACAGTAAGGTCAGTAGAATCTTCCCAAGAGGAGAAGATGGATGCTCTATCTTGTGGTTGGAACTTCCACAGGGGTATGTTTTCCCTCCTATACCAGTAATTTTCAGAATCCTGAGAAGATTTCAGAAGGAGAGAGTGACAGTTTTGACAGTCATCCTTCATTGGCCTTGGAGACCTTGGTTTCCCCTATTATAAGGCTTGTCCAGGTGCCTTCATCAGTGCTCACCTCTTTCTTTGCCAGTACATCAAGACTTGTTGATCCAGAGTCTTCTTCTCCATCCATCTCCTCAATCACTACAGCTGATTTCCTGGAAACTGAAAGAGGAAGGTTGAGAACAAAAGGTTTCTCAGAAACTGTAAACCCTCATGCAGACCAAAAAAAATCTTCCTCCTCTTATTATCGAGTTTATTGAGTTTCCACCTCTGAATTTTCAGCCTTCATACTGTTGAACTTTCTGCTAGCATGTTTAGATAAAGGCCTTAGCCTGAATACTTTAAAAATGCAAGTTTTTGCCCTGTCAGCCATTTCTAGTGTGAGATGGGCTTCGAATGAGCATGTCATCCATTTCATGAGGCAGTTTTAAATATTAGGCCTCTGATAAAGTCTTGCTCTCCTCCATGGGACTTGCCATTGGTTTTTTTTAGCATTACCAGCTTCTCACTTTGAACCCCTGGAACAAATTCCTCAGATGTTTCTGACTTGGAAGGTGATGATGCTGGTTGCTTTGACACCAGGTAGAAGAGTGTTTTTACTCAGTTCCTTATCCTCAGACATCATTCATGGCAAAAGGTGGTCCTTTGCACTGTTCTGGAGTTTCGTTCTAAAGTCGTATCAACAATTAATTTGTCTCATATGCTGGAAAATGAAAATGTCATGGAAAACACTCAATGTGGTTTGAGCAATTAAGATCTATCTCCATGTTCAGCAGACTGGAGGAAATCTTCTCATCTATTAGTTGTTCCCACTGATCACAGAAAGGGATAAGCAGCATGTATTCTTCCATTGCCAGAAAGATGGTATCGGCTATCTCCAAAGGTGATGAATACTGTACCTAATGATTTGAAGGCACATTGCATCGGGTCTCTGGTCATTTCCTGAGCAGCTGCTACACATGTTTCTCCAGACCTGGTTTGTAGGGGAACTACATGGTTTTCTATCAGCATGTTTATGAGTATTACCAATGTATCCAATGGTAATACTCATAAACATGCTGATAGAAAACCATGTAGTTCCCCTACAAACCAGGTCTGGAGAAACATGTGTAGCAGCTGCTCAGGAAATGACCTCAATAGGACTGAGTCTGTCTTCAATAGGACTGAGTCTGTAAAAGCAGTTTTAAAAGTGTCTTAATATGTTAGGATTAAAAAAGAAAAAATGTTCAGCAATATTTATGTTGTTGTCTCTTTTATTATCTTCCTGATTTTTTGTGAGCTTGGGCATGACCCAAGGTTAGTGCTGCCATGGCCATTGCTGTGAAATTGAAAAATGAATTCATACTGACTGGTATTTTCTTTTCCTGATAATGGGCCATGGCAGCACGGCATTCCCTCCCCCCCACCCCCACCCCCACCCCCCACTCCCTGTTTGTATGGCTTGCAACAAATTGGGAATCTAGAGCTGAAGGAGATTTATTTATAAATATTGATTTTACTTCTGTTCACAATGATGGGAGGAGCTAATCCGAGAGTAGTACTGCCATGTCCATTCCCGGGAAATACACTTTATTCACTTTGTAGGTCTGTAAAATACATACACTTTATTTATCCAACAGAGCTGTAAAATTAGATTTACATTTCCAGATGACAAAAGAAAATCTGATACATAGCAGATATGGCAATGAGAAAGAACAATTATTAGAGTGTGTGAGTTTTGTTTAAAAACTTTTTTAAGACCTAACTCGCATTATTATTCATTTAGATGGGCCATCCCTTTTGGAACATCAGATGACTGAGCACCATACCTTCCAATATGCATCCTCCTTAAATCAGGTGTGTGGAGTCCTGAGGTGGCATCACCAAAGACACATGTTGCATCACTAGCAACACCCACTATGGGCAGTCCACCCAGAAAGTGTTGATCTTATCCAAAATGCAGGCAGGTCAACGCAGAGAAGGGGCAGGCTCACCAACTGACAGGTAGCCTGCTCCCCCCACTCCCCCCCCCTCTATCAGGACCATGCAGTTCTCCCTGTATGGTCCTAGTGCCCACTGCACAGTGTGAGTGCACAGACTGGTGGGACACTTGGGTGACTCAAGCATGACGCAGGGACAGCACCCCAAAATCGGGACTGTCCCACCAAAAGTCGGACAGTTGTAAGGTACCCATGCAGAGTCCGTTTTAAAGGGAAATATTACCTGATCCTCCAATCTTCTTACAGAGGTGGGTGTTACACTTTTCCAGTTTACCAGTGCTCCACTTCTGATCTTTATTGATTTGCCCTTCTTTGGTGCACTTAGGCATTGATGTTCTGCCGAAGAATTGAGAGGCAGATAAAAAAAATTCTTCAAATCCATACATATGCCAGCAAAACTACTAGCATAATGTATAGATGGAATTTCAAGCTCTTTTAAAACAGCTAAGGTAGATTTGTCAATGACACGTTCCTTTTACTGCTACATTTAATTGGTTACTTACAGTGAGCTGGATCAATGTTTGCCGAAACAGGTTCCATTATGCTAGTTACTGCCAATTTGGGATAGTACTCAAAAGTAGCCTTTTCATGGAGTCCAACAAAATAGTCCAGAGTACTAATTTAATATGTTTCAGGTAAGAGGTGAGAAAGAAGTATACGTATGTCTCTTGTTACTTATTTTAAATATATTACATAAGGCAACATAAAAAATGTATTTAAGTAACATTTTTGAAAACCCATTTTCAAAAACATTACCTCTCAAAGTTGACTCTTGTATTTTATAGTCTTTGTGTAAATTAAAACATGCAAATAGACATTACTTAAACATCCCGACAGTGAAAAATAGTGTAGTTAAAGAATAATGTAGATCTTAAAACCTTACAGATTATGGTACTTTCTTATACTATTCGAGATATGACTCATCCAAGTTGTTATAGTGATGGAGCAAGTCATTATTAGTGGTCTAAAGAATAAGGTAATTGTTCTGGGTGAGACAGATGTCACCCGGTGTCAGTGACACACAATGACTCCAGTTTATTACCGCATATGACCATTGGAAGAAAGATGTGCAATATAATATCACATTGCTATATATTGTGGAATTAACTATTTAACTCTTCTGTGAAAGTAAAAAAAAAAAAACTAACTCAATTAGATTGTGTTTTTTATTCATCTGAACCAAACCAAGTCAATTCAATTATATTTAAATGTTTATATATAATATAAATTATCATCAGAAGAAGAGAGATTTAAAAAAATGAATGGAAGCGATATAATAATCAAATATGTTATTCATTTTATTTCCCACTTTTGGTAGGATAGCCTGGATTTTGAGGTTTTGTACTGCCATCCTGAATTAGTGTTCAGATATCCCACATACAGGGACACCAGGGAACTGTAAAACCCATCTCTTTAGGAAAGCTTATGGCCTCCCAGAGTAACCTCTACCTCACGGTCTCTTGCTCTCTCCTAAAGGGCAGCACTTTACTCTCTCCTCCAGCTCTGCCTCACTCCAACCTTATTTGATTGCTATTTCCTGTCCTAATGTGTTTTATATCCCACCTCCTATAGACTGTAAGCTCATTTGAGCAGGGCCCTCTTCAACCTATCGTTCCTGTAAGTTTTCTTGTAATTGTTCTATTTATAGCTAAATCCCCCCTCTTATAATATTGTTAAGCGCTACGGAATCTGTTGGTGCTATATAAATGGTGATAATAATAATAATAATAATAACTGTCCTATGTAGCAGGCACCAGGCCCATGAAAGGAACGGTTCAGTAGCACTCTCTGCATGGTCCTGTAGGTTGGGGGCCAATCAGGAGGCTGTCTGGCATGCTTGATGTCAGGTTGACACACCAATTCAACCTTGGGTCCATAAAAGGATCTCCACAACTTCAATAGGTGATTTCATAAATTAATAGCAATTGAGTCAAAGATTAATCAGAGTGAAGGTATAGTATCCACTCCTCTTTTTTAACCATTAACTATGGGTTGTTTTTTTTCCAAATCTTTTTTATTGAGAAGTAGTGAGTAAACGGGTCAGGCTAGCAGGCCATCATATGAAACATTCGAAACACATAATGCAGATCGATTATCAAGCTTTTTAAATACATCATAACAATTTTCAGAACAATGTTTGGATACATTGTTACTTCACATGAAGAGTAAAATTGCAGTTTATATAAGCGTGCCTTGAGAGCATTGTCTCATCGGTTAAACTTTGTTTTACATATGGACACTCGTCTATAATTGCCATCCCAGGCTTGATGAATGTCACCATGTAAGTGCATGACTGTTTTCCTCCACCAAGAGCGAGCTTGATATTTCCTGTATTAGGAGGTCTTTTGAAGGAGAGATGGTAAGTGTGTTTGGAAAAGGAAAGAAGAAGAAAAGGTAGAAGATATGAGAGGGTCTTCCCCTGGACCCTGAGTTGCATGTCCTAAGCGATGTGTGAGTCCTGAATTTATATGAGATTTATGGGGAGTATTCCGTGTCCCGTTATAAGTACGTCGTATGGTATGTATCTTGGGGAGTGCCGGGTATTCTATGATTATTCTACAGTCTGTCGTAGTTAAGTCAGTGAGGCTGTATGTGTGTTGCCAATTTCAGGGTGTCGGATCCCTATTGTGAGATACTGGGGAGCAGATTGTAGAAGTGTCCCCCAATCGTCTCTCCAATGACCAAGTCGTCAGGATCGAGTAAATGGTCTTCCGGACACCTGCCTGAGTTCGGTATCCTGCCGGCTACCTCTTGGGCCGTGTAGGTGGTAACATAGGGCCATATGGTTGAGGCATGGAGTTGCGGGTAGTGTATCCTAGTGCGCTCGGCAGTCATGGGTGGGTGCGGGGCCTCTCTTCGTGTGTGGCCTGTTCTGTCGTGTGGTGGTGTTCGTCTGTGAGTGGCCTCCCTAGCGCTGGGGGAATTCCTCAAGGGAGGCTTATGGTCATTATAGTGTTGAGGGGGGTCATGACCCGTCGCCCTGCCCATCCATTCCCATGCCGCCCACGAGGCGCCCGTTATCATCCAGCTATGTATGCGAACCACGGTTGCCACGTCTCAGTGTGCCTGGTTTCCTGACCTGCCAAGGATGCCTGTAGCACCTCCGCCGCCTGTATGTCTCTGACCCTGTGGAGCCACTCCTCGATCGTGGGGGATCTCAGGTCATTTCCAGTAGAAAGGTATAAGGGATTTGGCTGCGTTCAACAGGTGGCGTAGAATCGATTTCTTGTATCCAGAATGGATTGTGAGGTGATGTGTAGTAGGGCCAATTCTTTCAACCATTCCCCCAGAATTGCTCTGATTTCTGATTGGATTTGATCTCAATATGGGGTGATGGCTCGACATTCCCACCACAAATGTATTGCAGTCCCTCTCTCCTCCTGACATCTCTATCATGACGGGAATGCCATCGGGAAGATCTTCTGCAACCGCTGTCCTGTACCAAATGAATATCAATTTATAATTGACTTCTTGGTAGTGAGAGCTGGAGGAGCTTTTATGTTGCCAGAACAGAGCCGTTTCCCATTGTGGTGGTGGGATTGGCCCACCCATTTGTCCTTCCCATAGTCTTCTGAAGGCGTTATTATCCGTGCTGGACCCCACCAGTAGATGTTGGTAGAGTGTTGATACTGCCTTTTCAAGTGTGGCTCCTCAGTGATATAGGTCCTCAAACCATATGAGGTCCCTGTGTGTCTGGTTTTTACAAGGGAGTGAGTCGTAATAGTGTGTCAGCTGTAGATATCGGAGGGGCGCCATGAGCATCTTAGGTCTGTCAGCTGGCAGCGAGTTCAGGGGCCGTATTGATTCCTCTCCTAGGACTTCACTTAGTGACAGGCCTCCCCTGGGTCTGGGCAAGCACAACATCCCATGACGCAGTCGGGACCTCTCCCCCCTCCAGAAATATCAGATGACCGCTGATTTTAGAGTGGAGAAGAAGGCTGCCGGCTGCGCCATTAGGATGGTCTGAAACAGATAAAGGATCCTCGGAAGCACGTTCAGCTTAAGCACTGCTATTCAGCCGTGCCATGTAATGTGTGGGTATGCCCAACGGTCAAGATCCAACGTTATCTTTTGTAGGATGATTGTAAAGTTATGTCGGTACATATCTTGCGGGTTCGTGGTTATCCATATGCCCTAGTATTTCATCTTCCTAGTGGGAATGCGGTGCCCATTTCAGCGTATTCATCCGGCGGGAAGGTGACATTGAGAACCTCGCATTTTGTCAGGTTAAGCTTGAATCCTGAGATCCTTCCAAAGCGTTCAAATTCCAGGAGCAGACAGGGCATCGTGATTTGTGGGTTAGTGATGAAGAAGAGAAGATCATCCACGTATGCGGCCACTTTGTGTTTCGTTCCCTTCCAAGTGTGATGTCGGGGTTTTGTCGTACCGCCTGAAGTAGCGGTTCCAGAGTCATCGCGAACAGGAGCGGTGATAGAGGGCATCCCTGTCTGGTCCCATTGTTAATCTCGAAGCTAGGTGTCAGGGCTCCGTTCACCCTGACTGCTGCGTGAGGTTTATAATATAAGGCAGATATCCACATCATCATTTTATGCCCCAGTCCCATGGCCTCTAGTGTGTCCATCATAAAATGACCAGTTGACCTGGTCGAAGGCCTTGTCGGCGTCCATGGATAGTAGTAAGATGCTGTCTCGGGATTTCCACGCTTGATGTTGTACAGAGAAAAGGCGTAGCATGCTATCCCGTGCTTCCCGTCCCGGGATGAACCTTGTCTGGTCCGCGTGGATCAGGTTCAGTAGTGTGCGTTGTAGTCTGGTCGCCAGCACCTTTGTGAGTAGTTTCGTATCCACATTTAGCATAGAAATTGGCCAGAGCTGCCGCAGTTCTCTGGGTCTTTTCCGGATTTAAGCATGACCGTAATAGTAGCTGCCAGAGATTCCACTCCAGATTCCGCCTCCCTCTGTCCTAAACCCTCCACCCTTCCCATCTCCCATCTCTTTGATGTCTAACTTATAACGTTAGTGGCGTGGTGCACACCCCACTCCTTCCCATAGGGACCAATATCCCCGTCGTATCCTGGTCTACTCCCCCACCCGCTTCGTTGCTGAAATTATGTCGAAGGGATGGTTATCCCATCTCCCCGGCCTATGTACCAGGCGGTGTACCACATTTGCTGCGTGGGTGTACATTGGTCATCACAAAAAGCTTAAAACATTTACCATGTGGCATGAACCCTGAACACTGTGTAATGTGTAGAAGCTTAATACATTTACTGTGTGGCATGAACCCTGAGCCCTGTGTAATTTGTATAACATTTACTTTTGAAAAATGAGGCACATTTGCTATAAGAGGAGTGTGACCAGTATTATGTGCGTACGGGCAGTGCCCTGTACTGTGAGTCCATAGTATGCGTCCTCCAGGGCAGCGATATGGTGTGGAGATCTCAGCCTCTTGTTGCTTTCGGTTATCTCCTGTGCGGTGGTGTCCCTTGCTGCAGTTAGTTGATAAACATGTGCCCAGGAGGTCGCCAGCAGTGCCCATCAAGGACAGGGAAACCCCCCCCCCCCCCAACAATCCCCACAACCAAAAATTAGTTTGTGGTAACACCCAGAATGTGTGCCATTGTGTCCCATGGGCCCTCGGTAAAGGGATCCTGCCTTTCAGATGTGAGAAGCCTTACCCGTCACCCCCCCCAAAGCTCCATGGAGAGAGGAAGTCAGAGCAGAGTCATTCCAAACCCGCTGTCCTAGTAGAGAAGAGGGGCCATATGGCCATATGGCATCCCCCAAGAGCCCCGTTTCAGGAAATGGGCAGGCGAGTCATTGGTGCCGGTAACAGGGCCCATGATCGGTAGGGTAATCCCAGGTCAAAGTGGACAACGGTGTGAGCGCCCGAGCGTGGCCGGGAGCAGGGGGGCAGGAGGCATACCTGCTATTCTGGTGCCTCTGGGTTGTTGCGTCTGCGTGGCGCCGTGCCATGTGGTTATCCGCCTCCGAGGTGTTAGTTGCTGGCGGGGTCTCCCCCCTAGAAGGCCCAAAACCCAGTCCAGGACCGAGATAGGTGGTAAGCTCATCTCCTCCAGGAATCTCGGGATCTCCTTGGGCCAGCGGACTGAGGTCCAGCCATTCCGATGGCGAGCAAGCAAGGCAAAAGGGAAGCCCTATCGGTAAGGTATGTTCTGTTCCTGTAAGGCCGCAGTTAAAGGTTTCAGCACTCTTCTGGCTTCCAGCGTGATGTGTGAGATGTCATTAAACAGGGAGATCGGTGCTCCTCGGTAGTCCCTCATGATGACGTCCTTATCTTGGAAAGAGTGGAGGCAGCATATTATGTCTCGTGGGTCGTCATCCAGGGATCTGGGGCGTAGGGCTCTATGTGCCCGTTTATACTTAAAAGTGTCAGGTGCGGTCTTGCCCAGAATCATGTGGAATAAGCCGTTGAGTATGTCCTCTGCTTCAGGGACCCTGCGGACCCTGATATTGCATCTGCGCCCCCTGTTATCCAGGTCTTCAATGATCCTTCTCATGTGCAGCAACATCTCCCCTTGGCGTGCAAGGGCCATGTCGGTTGCCGACTGTCTCATGGTCTGGGCCTCATGTGAGCGTTCCAGATCCTGGATGCGGCCTGCTTGGGCAGTTACCTCTGTCCGGATGCCCGCCATCTCAGCTCGCAAGGTATGGTAGTGGTAAGTACCAGGAGGTCTACTTTTGTGGCCATGGCAGCAGCTATGGTGCGGAGCTCATCCCCGATCCCTTCCAGTGTGGCGCCATGAGGTTCCCTGGGGGATGGGGCCGTCGGGGCCATATTAGATACACTTGCCTCCCCGCTCGTGTCTTGATGAATCTGTCCATCGCGCCATGTGGGTACCCCGTTTGGGAGTCCCTCAAGGTCTGGGGGGTATCTGTGCGTCGGTGGTGTCCCATTAGCGCTATTGTCTGCTGATTATTATGCTGTTTTAGGCACCGGCGGAGCAGAGTTCAAGGTCTATGCGTCCATCCTGGTCAGAGCCCAAGCCACGCCCCTCAACCATTGACTAAGTTAACATGTTTTCTTTTTGGCTTTATCTTGTTTGATGTTACCAGTACCTATGTATTTACTTAGTTATGAAATGGATGTCTAGAATGCAATTGTTGTGCCTCCTCCATTTCTTTAGATTACGTGAGGCTTCTGCAGAGTAAGGATATTTGTTATGGCCAAGTAATCAGACTTCATTCATGTGCAATACCAAGCATTAGCAGAAGTTTTATGCAAAATTAAATTATCTTACTACTGTACTCTACTTACTGTGTTTTGTTGGAGTAGAGATCATTTCTATTGCACAATAATGTTCTTTTAGCTGTTTAAGATTAACACACCCAACCCCCGTTTGCAATAAATAATTGCATTTTGTTTACCTTTCAGCCCTTGCAATGCCAGTCTTCATGATGCTGGTCTCACCTCCTTGGCTGAGATCATGATCTAAATCACCCAATGCTTCCTCATAGGGATGCATTGAGTGGCAAGTGCACCAATGCTGCACCAATTAAATACCAAGTTTCGTTAGGTTATATTAGGAAGTGCCTCTTGTAGCTGTCTTTTTGTTAAATGTTCTTACAGAACAGCAATGTTTTACAATGCCAGGTTAAAACCACTGATTTAGCTTTCAGTCTGTCTATGGTTTGAAAATTCTCTTGTCTCCCTATTACTCCTACTGCGTATCTCGCCTCTGGTACTATTGTAACCTTGTTCCTGGCTACCTGGAGAAGCAGTATTTCTGTTACCATGTCTTTTTTCTTCATTTTGTCTTAGATAGATTTCATGCAACATTGGGCTCCCATTCAGGTTACAAGGTCTTTGAATATGGCGATATGAAATGGGGGACTCAACAGTCTGTGGTAGGCCGTTATCTTACAAATAGGGTCTATAAGGCCATTCTTTGCTTCCATGCTCGGCTTCTACCTATACGCCAACCACAAGCAGTTTCACTTCCTTCTACTGTAGTAGTCTCTAATGCTTCTGCTTGAAGACATTTCTATATATCTATAACGCTCTTC